TAAAAGTGCTGCTGCTATTAATTATTGATCCCATCTGTGCTCCCAAAGAGTGGAAATTTATCTAGTAAGTTTGTGAGGGAATCTTTTCGACAACCCTTTTTTCTTTTCCCAGCCTGGCAGTCCTTGCTGAAGGCATGACATTATTCCAGCAGCCCCCTTTGGCTCCCTAGGGCAGCAGTAAGGGAAGGCTGCTTTTAGAGCCAACCTGATCCTTGCCAGGACATCACGGCTGCAAAATACCTGAGACATTGCTAAACAATTTGCTCTGCCATTTGCCCCTTTCTCTTCCCACAGAAGAGGAGAGCCTGGCTGTGCAGGCAGGGTTATCAAGCAGGCACATTCTGAAACAGCCTCTTCCCCTGCGTGCTTCAATTATCTGAGCATTGCCACCCTGAGAGTCTCATAGGGTTGATTAGAGGCACTGCCACATTTAAGGTTATTTACCTTCTGGTTTTAAGGTTTGAGCACGGTGGAAAAGTCAGCACGTTTCCCTTTGCATGGTTGAGAAGCAGGTGCATTAGCCTTCCCTCATAAATGCTTTACTATAGCCTGTGGGGAAAAATGCTTCTGCTTTGATCCCTTCCTTGTGGTTAGAATATGCCTGCAGTGCCTGCAAAATGGTTACTGTTCCCCACCCCCATGGGTGCTGAGCAGCCAGAATTCTGGCAGCTGATGGAGGGTTTGAAGAGCAGAAGGAGGGTTTGAAAGACACAGGCTATGTCCACTTGAAAATTTTCTAATTGTGAATGAAATTGAAATGAGAGCAGGGAGTGAAAATACCAATGATGGAGTCAGACTTTGTTAGGTTTCAATGCCATGCTGGCCTTCTTATCAAAGCTGAGGGTTACTTATATGTTTACTTTGTATTCAGCCTGGGCCTTAAGAGCTCAAAATTCTTTGGCTAGGCATATTTGAGAGGTTAAATACTAAAAAAAAATTGGAAAAAACAAACTTCAGGTTTAAGATGCTTTCTTAGCAAACTTGCCATGCTAGAGGCTTCACCAGCCACTCCTGAATTGTGCAATTGTTCTGTTAGGGTTTTATACCTCAAAGCTTTGTCTATTAAAGCTTTTCCTTAAGCAGTGGATCTAAATACCCTGCACCTACAACTGCAAAGGTCTCCAGGATTTTCCCTTACCATTCAACCTATGTTTTCAGTCCCTCCTTTGCTACCACACCTGAAGTCTTTCTCCTTTCAGGCTTCATGTCCTTGCAGACACAAACATTTCCCCAAAACATTTCCAGTTTCAATACACCATCTAATCTGACTCATTTGTCCCCTCCCTCCTCCTACTCCCATTCATGACACACAACTTCTCTTCTCAGCCCCCCTATCCCCTGAAAATTTTAAGCTCTACAAGCAAGGTACCTGAGCCATGACATGCTTGCTCAGATGAGAACAAGCTTGGGAGGGACAGACAGAATGACTCAGAACACAGCCAACTTCACAGGAGAGCACTTATTTCTTTGTGTCAGGACCCAGCTCCATTCTCAATTTGGTGGAAAAGGCCTGAATGTTTCTGTGTTAGTGGAGGGGCCATGTAAGGGTGAGAAGGTGGGAGATGCATAATATGAGCATGTGTATTACACTTCTTGTACAAATCAAAGACAACTTCCAAATCAAACACTTACATGACAGATTTACCAACTTTTTTCTTGGAAGAGAAGGAAAAAATATTGTTCTGTTTGAAAGATCTAAGTCTGTTTGCAGTGTGTTGAGTGGTGGATAACATTTCAGGAGATTATGTCCAATGAGCAATTATGGCAAACAAACACACAAGGACCAGTGTGAGCACCCTCTGCAGGTGCTTGTTTGGGAGGAGTGATGAAAGGGAAAGGGAATTCTCAGCTTTCACAGATTTGTTTTCTGATTCTGGCCTCTGCATATCTTTGTGGTTTTCAGTAGATGAAGCAAGCAGAGTACACATCCTATGTATTAATCCATAGACAGCCCCTATGACTGCATGCCTGTTTCCTCAAGGAATCATGTTAAAAAAAATTGACTGCTTGGTATAATATTTTACTGTGAAATAATCTCCTGTCCTCATTTTAGACCCTCCCTTACCTCCCATGAGTAGTGGTGGTGGTGGTGGGTACAAGTTCTTCCTAGCAAAATGCTTAAGCAGATTTTTAACAAAAATCTTGAAAGCAGCAGCATCAATGGCTCAACTCCCTTCTCATCCTCCCCAAAGATTGGACTGCCCAATCCTGCTATTCCCAGTCCCATCTGCTTTATAGACAAGGAGAAAGCTCACCCAATTTAGGACTTTGTTCTGTGCTGCTGAAATCAGTAGGTGTTTGGTCTTTTGGTTTTAGTGAGCTTTTAAAGGAGCTGATAGCTACATGTTTTGACTCTGTCTGTGTCCCACTTGGTACTAAAGCTTCTTGTTCCTGCCTTAGGAAGGATGAGCTCCTCTCTTCTCTCTGCCCCATGGAAATCTAGTGATAAGAAGAAATGGGTTAGGAGCAGGAGAGAGAGAAATGAAGCAGATGAAAAAGCTCACCTACTGAGCCTAAATCACTGAATTTTTATTCTGAAACCTTCCTAACATGCCAGGCAGGCTCACTAATACTTTCCACTTCGGTAACATCCAGAAATCTTGAGAGGAGATAGAAACTCACACTAATCTTTTGCATTGCTACACTTGATTCTGCAAGATGTGTGCAGAGACCAAGGAAAAGAAGAAAATCAAAGATTTGGCAAAGTTCATGCTGAGACTGTTGGAGAATGAAAATATTTCTCAGGATCTGCATGCAGCTCTAGTTTCTGTGTCTCATCTACAAGATCTTCATCTCACATGTTCTTGTTCATAACTTTTGATTCTAACGTGAGTAGGAAAGATAAAGTGCTCTGTTCTGTAGCTAACAGACTAAAAGTAAACACAATAAAAATCTAACAATTAACAAAAAGTACAGAAAAATTCTTCTTCCAAAGGAAGACAAATATTGCAGAGAAAATAGTGTCTCTGCCTTCCCTCTTTTTAAAAAGTAATCTTCATATGAAAGGCATATTCCTCTCCCCATATTGTATTCATCTCTGTATGTACTGAAATTTCAGAATATTCATTCTGGAAATAGTTTTGTTACCATTTTAGCTGAAGGAACAGGGTATAATTTAAAAACATTTTAAGAAATTACTATCCAGCTGTGTTTTTAGTTAATTTTCAGGAAAAAGGAGATTATGTTTATGTGTAGAAGTCTTTATATAATTAATGTTAATTTGCACGTTAATGAAGATTATTAGCAAAGCATTGTAGTTTTGTTCCTGCTGATTTTGACAGATGAGTTGAACAACATTCTGCTGTAATCAATGTAACATAATTTGTCCCTATTTTTTCTAAGCATTAACAACTATTTTAGTAAAGGGTTTTTACTGAAGCCAAGGCGTGATGAGAGGATCTTAAGTGGGCTTTCTCTGTCAAATAGCTCAATGTATGTTATTTTATGTAAAATAACATGACTCACTACTAATGAGCCACTGTGAAAAATGACAGACATCTTTTTGGCCGGAAAGAAGTTCACAGCAAAATATTCAGTAGGCCTTACTTGCTATTCATGGGTTCACAGCTTCAATATCTCTCCTATTGTCTACATTAGGATGATAATACTAAGGGTAGAGTCCTGACGATGCCATGCCCCAGAAATCAGCTGATGTGGTTAGCACTAATGAGAAACAGCTTAGACAAGTGTCACACAGCTGTTGTACATACAGCTGTTTGCAGCCCAAGGGGCTGCTCCTCCTGGGAGAAGAGCACAGGCACGTGCATGTAAAAAGCTGGTAGGGAAGAAGGGGGTGGCACTGTCTGTCTCAGACCCCTCCTACAAGTTACAGTTTTTCTGCTCTGCATGCAGTTTTTCTGCCACTGCACTTCTAGATAGAACTCACTGAGCCACAAATTTGTACTGTCCATGCAGACCAGGGAAACAGCTTTCTGAGGAGATTCTCCCTGTTCATATAAATCTTTCATTGCCATTAACTTTTTTCCCTTTTTCTTTTTTCCTCTCAGCTATCCTTAACCAATAGCTCATTCTTGGTAAATTTTTTTGTTTACTGTGGACAGTTTTTGGAAGTTTTCCATGTTTTTGAGCTTTGAGCCTCAAGCAATTTTTCTTTGGAGAGGCTGCATTAATTCCTAGGGCTAAGATATCTAGGATAGTCACCATTTCCAAGCATGCTGCTGATACACATTAGATGTGTCATATAAATATATAATTCTGATTCTGCATGCTCAAACAGGCCACCAAATTCACCACAGGAGACAGAGGAGCTTGCCCAGGAATATCATACATTTCCAGATGGAATAAATCGTGTTCACCTCAGTGATGGTGCAGGTGCTGAATGAATTGTGTGTTACTGGGTTTACCAAATAACATCTGCCTGTTTTACTGATTTGTGCCCTTGAGCAGCCAGCCCATGTAAGTTAATATGGGGGAGCCATTCCCTTCTGGGCAGCAACAGCAGTGTTTGCTAAGTTCCAAACAGTCAAAAAATGCACAATTGTCTTGGTAATAGTAGTAGACTGAAGCTACTTGTATCATTGAGATATTTGCTTGGATAGTGTACAGCTGACACAATTCCAAGAGCCTTTTTTGTCTACAGTGTCTGCTTTTATTGGTGAGGAATAATGGATCTAGGTCTGATCCAGAGCAGCAGATAAGTGCAAAAAAAAAAACAAAAAAAAAAACCTAGACAAGTTTGGTCTGAAAACCATTAGAGGCCAGGACTCATAGGACCATTGCATTAATTAATTTCAGGTAGAACCACAGTGAAAAGAAATCTTTAATCAGGGATATAATATCTTTAGAGAACTTGGCACAGTTTTCTTTTGCCATTTGTGTTCTGCATAGATTGGGTATGATGGTACAAGTCTACCTTACTTTGTTACAGTATTATATTTCAGTACTATTTAACTGCAAGCCAACAAAAAAAAAAAAACCCTTGAACCACCATCTTTTTGAAACACACGTGCTGGAAAATGACTCTCTGCTTTAATTCACAGGAGGAAACCGAGTGTCCTTCATCTCTCTCTGTTATCAAAGAGATGACACCAGGTGAAACTATAGAGGATGATTTCTTCCCACCTGATGATCTGTCTTCTGATGAAGAATATTATATCGAAGAAAGCAAAGCAACCAAGTTCAAGAAATCAGGCATGAGGCGCATTGATGACATCAAAAAGGCATTTTCAAGGGAAAATATCCAAAAGACAAGACAAAATTTTGGCAAGAAGGTAAACAGACTTCAAACTAGAATAGTAACCCCTGAGAGGAGAGAGAGGATCAGGCAGTCAGGAGAGAGACTGAGACAATCTGGGATAAGGATCAAGAAAACCATTTCACAAGCTGCTCCAACAAAGGAGACATTCAAGATCCATAAAAAAAGTAAAGAGCGAACAGGAGCAGAAGGTCAGGAGGGGATCCAGGAAGCCGGTGTACACATCGCCTCTGAGCTCCCAGCAGCAGAGCCCTTCACCGAAGAAATCTCTTACACAGAAGTGATCACTAAGGTAAAGAAAGACAAGAATAGTGCAACCAAAGGTGCTTCCCAGTCGACTGAAATAGGGGTGACTATCCCAGAAGTTGTCCTTAAGCAGGAAAGAAAAGAAGGAGGAGGAGGAGGTGATGATGACGTCCCTTTGCTAGACTTAAAGCAATCAGTATAAGGAGTCAATGAGCACACACCCCATACTGTCCTCACTGAGCAAGAGAGAACACAGTATGTACTCATTCAGCTTTAGAAAAATGTGTGAATTTGTGTTCTATCACAAACCGTGTTGGTGTTGTTCTGCCATCCACATAGATGTCTGTAGTGTTGTCTTCCTGACAAAAGTCAAGCCATGCAAACTGAATGAAGGGGCTCCCCCTGTGTCTCAGTGTGCCGATAGCCATCGTTAACCCCAATGGAACTCACAGTGTCAAAGGGAGATGGGAATCTGCTGCATTTCCAAGAGTGATTTAGCAGTCACTTTACAGCCTACTCACTCTCATCGTTTCGTGTACAACAGTATAAAATTTATTTCCATTATGTTATATCAACTCATCTAATCAGAAAACAATAACAAAGCTATTACTTCGTATTAGCAAAAGGAAGAACTATGGAAAATGTCATTTAGCTGTACAAATATTATCACTTAAGGATCCTCGCAGAAAAAAAAAAAGCAGGAAGAGCAAATTCCTGCTTTATCCATGGTATGAAAAAACATGGCAGGAATTATGGGGTTTTGAGTAAATTGTGTTTTTCTTAGCAGAAAGGAGAAACTCCTGAAATGACTAGAGGTTATTTCCAGACTTCTGGAATAGGAAGGTTCATTGTAAGTAAGCAATGTGTTTTGTGCATTTATGGAGTAAGAATAAAAAAGAAGACACATTAAAAATGGAATAGCAGAAGGAAAAAGGAAGGAGGTATCGTACTCATGTTTTGGAAAGAGGAGATTGTGAAAAAGGCAATTATATGAAGCAGTAAAAGTGGAATAAGATGAATGCATAGGTTCTGGATAAATTGAGAGAAAAATTAGAATACTATAACTACAGTTTCCTTGAGATTTTTTAGAAAATTATTCTTTACAGAGGATCATAGGTTTTATGAATATAACTGACCAGACAAGGGAATTGTTTTGTTTTCCACTCTCTGTGTTTTTTCTGAGCTTCACTGCAATTAAAATCTATCCTACAAAGTCACAGATGTACAGGGCCAATCCATAACCCAATTCTTTTTTTCCTATCATCCTCATTATTGACCAGTCACAGCCTCAGGGATTATGAGACAGACACCCTTTGGACTATGGAATGCTGTTTATTTGCAGCTCTCAGGAGCCAGTGCCCTGACATCAGATATGTTTGTAAACATGACTGCTACAGTGACATGGGTGCAGGACTGTATTGCTCTCTTCATTCTTAAATGGAGTTGCCTTCAAAGCACTTATCTAAAGCAATGTTAGTCATTTACTATCTGTGTGAAACTTGTACAATATTGCCAAAAGCTGTATGATTGTATTTAATATCTCGGGTTCATTTTAACAGAAAAGCATAACTTGGTTATCTATATACATTGTTTGAAGACTTCTAGCTAATTGTTAATCTATCATTGAAATATAATTAGTTTGATTTCAAGTATTCTGCCTGCCAGTTCTTTCATTTAGATTGGTGTACATCCCACTTGAAGTGAAACAGATTTAGCAATAGTAACTAGGGAACACTGGTTGGGGAAGGTCAATGTTTTACTGTATCAGTGGCATTTCAAATCAAATTAATGTTGTCAGACTGGGAGCAGCAACTCCACTGAGTGGAAGGGCAGGATAGAGCAAGAGAAGGAGATGGGGAAAGGAACACATTTCTGTCAATAGTAAATTGTTCATCTCCACTCTATTCTAATCACATACAAAAAGAAAAGAGCATTTGCTTGTAGGATATACTGAAGGTTTTGTTTAGGGTTCTTTACTGGTGATAAGAAGCCTTCTTGGAGCAAAGTCACTTTATGTTCGTCAGTTCTGTATAAAACTCTAGCTATCTTCAGTGAAATACTGTATGATTTTTCTGGTTCTTCAGTCATATGGCCTGCATTCTGTTTGCAAGATTTGACATTTTTCTAAACTGATAAACAGGGTTTAGTTATTGAAATGAAAATTTTGATGTTCAAATAAGCTATAGCATTTAATTTTCTCATTTTGCTTGATAAAGAAGTGATGCAGTTTCTATGGAGCATGTCATGCAGCTCCAGATAACATCTATCAAATATTTGGGTTTTCATATTTACTTTTAGCTTCAATTGGTCAAAGCATGATTTATTTCATAGCAAGTAGTGAGTTCTTCAGTTGTGCAAAGTATTTCAATGCACATTTTTTATTTTAAATTACTATCACTGTTACTGACCTGACTTTTACATGTACCAAGAGATCAAAGTTAAATTATTTCATATCCCCTCATAAAGGTAGGGGAGGGGGAAAGCCCTATGGTTTGCAACCTCAGTTTCTGTGGAACAGCACAGACCTTTGCTGCCTGAAGTCTCCCCCATCTTTTTCATAATTTCCAAGATCAATGATCATGAAGCCAAATCCTTCAGCCTTCTCAGAAAAAAAAATTCTCAATGAAATTGGTTGATGTACAGCTGCGCTGCAGAGAGGTGTGGTGTATTTTTTTGGAACAGTTGGTTTCACTTGAAACTATAATCTTGCCGGCACTGTTGCTCCTAGCTAAATGGAAAAAAGGGACCCTGTCCCTGTCTGCTCTGTCTTCCAAGAAGAAAGTTGGCACTCTGTACTTCGTTGTGGGTGTGAGTGTGAATATCAAACTTCCTCATGGAATAAACCTCGCAGTTGCTAACTGCAGAGTAAAACTGGCTGTGCAAAGGGATGAACTACTTTCTTAGACACTTGCTATACAAAAATTAAAAGTGTTTACAAGGAGAAAAAAATATTAACAAAGTCCTGACTGCAAGTCCTTCTTTCATAACATCCAACAATAATTTCTTTTACTTTGAATTTGTGCTAATGAAAGAAGCCAAACACACATTCTGCCAATAGCCATTTGTCCATTAAAAAAAATATCACTCATCCTTCAGTTACAGGGTAGACAGCAGTCTTGGTTACCACAAAAGTACTTCAACCATTCCAGGTGAAATATGGGCTGTGTGTCGTCTTCCTTTTTTAAACTAAACTGATGCAAAATACAGAACAAAAAGCAGTTAAGAGGTTTGAGTTTGCAGGATTCAGGCACTGATGCAAACAGAATGAGTACTAATAGAGCAAAAGTGGTGTTCAGATGTGTTTACTCTGCGAAAACTTTAAAACCTTACCTTCTGCTAATAATGGGGCGTGTGCACACCTTCCTTACAAGTGGATATAGGAGTAGAAATGAGTTAATAGGTGCAAAAGGTACTTGTGCAAAGATAAACACTTCTGTTTCTATGATTGTTTTCATTAAAAGTAAATGGTTGCAGCCATTAGTAAAACCACCCAGCAAGTTTAGAAATGCAAAATCAAAGGAACTGTATATTGAAATATATGCAGATAAACATAAAACTTTACCGTGCATTTAATTATCTTGTCATTACAGCTTTAATAATGCTATGGATGATGAGATTTTAACTACAAAGTTAAATTTAAAACAATTATATTATATTATGAAAAATTATTGTATGAAAAAGAAAGATAACATCTCCAAAAGAACCACCATAAGATGTCAGAACAGTTGTCACTATCATAAGCACTTTTTTATGTAATGCTTCCATTGTGAGCAAGTTAGTTGATTATATTCTCGCTTGCTTTATAAGAGTTGCCAAATTTACACCTGCAGCTGTTTTCCCTCTGATATTCCCAGGGTAAATAAATGTAGTATTTTTGCTGTGAACAGAGCAATTTATGTGCAACTAACATAATCTCTGTGTATCACCTGCCAATTCCCACCCCACTGTGAGAAGGCAGCCGCCACTTTGACAATAACAATGCAACAGTGCTACAGTTTAGTCCTACTTGGTGGCTCTTTCTTCCATAGCTGTCCGTCCTTACTTCGAACTGCAGAGCAGTGCAACGCCCCTCAAAGTCCAGTGATCGGGATTCTGCACTGTTCTCAGATGCAAAGAGAAGATGTAGGTCAGGTCTGTTCTCTGAGGCTTTCTGTAGACAGGGCAGCAGTACACATTTCCGTGTTGCCTCCTCGCGTCGCTCGGCGCTGTCGTGCTCACCGCGTACACGTGGACCACGGGAAGGCTCGTGAACAGCACCTGAGAAGGTAAAAGATACACAGGGCTCAGCAGAACAGAAGCAGGACAGGGTGTCTGAATTCTGAACACTAGAACTAGATTCAGTGATGGCCTTCAGCAAAAGCACCTGAGCAGAGTACATGTGGGAGTACAAGTCCTACATTCACTAATATGTTGACACTAGCTTTAAGCCAATGGCAGCTCAGGGATAATAGCCATCAGGAAGCCTGTTGGAAGGAAAGGAGAGCAGAAAAGTAGAAACATGGAAACCTTCATGCTGTGGAGGTAGATGGAAAAATTTCAGGGTGGTTCTAGGACAGACAGCAACCATTGCCTTTTTTCCCTTCCTTTGCCCCTTTCACTGGTGTTTCCCATTTTTTCCCCACCTCTTTTTTCCTGAATGTCAGGACTAGAGCTACAAAAACCAAGCTGCAAACCTCTATACTGCTGACAGTGGAGCTTCTAACATCCAACGTGCTTCTTGGGCACTTACCAAACTTGATCACCTCAGGTCTTCCACCAAGATAAAGTACTCATTGTCAGGGGATAAAACAGACCCAGAGCCAAGAGCAACATGGAACTCTGCTGAACACTTCAGAGCACTTGAGTAAAACTCCATGTTTGAAGGGGTCTTTTGACAAACCAGGCAACAGAAGTTACAGCTGGCAAGGTTTAGTTTGGAAAATTTTCTCTCAGTCAGACACAGAAGTGTTTTACCTATGGACAGGAATTACCTCAATTCCAATTCCAGGACAGTTAGCACTGGCTTGGAAAAAGTGTACCACTGCAAACAATGACAACTTTCCCTGGACCGTGACTGCAGTATCTAATCATTACTCCATAGCCAGATTTTAAATCTTCTTAGTCACATCAGTAAAATGTAACTCAATGCATGGATAACTGAGCATAAGCCCAGAACTAATACTCTGCCTCATATTAAAGCACAAACACTGGGGATTTCTAGTCAACCAAACAATGACCTCCATATCAAACCTAGTCCAGGGCTTTGGAAGCTTTGATAAGGTCCCCCTTGGTCAGTCAAAAGAAGACTGGCTATGGGGTGCACTATTTTATTCAAACATAACTGTGCTGCTAGGGCCCCTGAAGCCAAGAAGCCCAGCATCTGGTCTGCTCTAGTGCTATGCATCCTAAATTCATTTTCTGACAGAAGTCTTTTTGTTCACTTCTGGCAGGTAAAGAGTCTGTCCTCTTCCCAGCACTGCTAGTGTTGGTTACCCTCTTAAAACCTGTTGTGAAACCACTGCTGCAGGCACTCAGCATTCTTCCTGGCTTTCCCAGAGCACATGCAATATGCCCCAGCCTGCTACACTGACTCAGTCCTCACCTTTGGTGCTGATTCGATCAGCTTGCTGTTCCTGCGGTCCCAGCCGGCGCCTTCAAGGAACAGGCCGTGTATGTAAACCCCACCAAGGTCAGCAGGAGGGGGGCCAACAACATCTTCTTTCATCATCTTGGTCACTTCACTGCATAAAACAACACTGTCCAGCTCCCACCCTTTGGCTAAATTCATGCGCGTTGTCTCTTGCCTCATGGCTGTTAGGAATCCCTAAGGAGACACGCAGGAATATGGCAGAAAAGAGTTTTTTTAAAGCCTTGAATTTAAACCATTTACAACTTTTTTTTTTTCCTATGTAAGTGACACCAGCTGTATTAAAGCCCATCCCACAGAATTTCATGTGCATATCAACTAAATTCGGTAGTGTAAATCCAGTACCATGCATCCATACATGACTGGTGTGCACATGTTGGTGCCAAGCAGCCCCCAAGTTAGCTTCACAATATATCAGAAGTGTCTGTATAATTCACCTCTCATGCCTTTTTTTACAACCAACCAGATGGAGAGAGGTATATAATGTGATTATATACCAGATTAATGTGTTTTGAGAGATTCCAAACACAGGTGATTTCTCATTTCTCTAACACTGGCTATATTATTCATCTTCTCTTATACTAATGTTTAAGAAATGCTTTTCAGTCAACAAATAAGCCTTTACGGAACACAAAGGAAGTACCAGCTGGAATCATGCCATTAAATACTGAAATGCCTTTGACACTTTGCTCAGTGAAGTCTTTACATACTACAATAACATAGTGTTTTAGACAACAGCATGATAAACCCAGAGCACTCCAGCAGCACAGAATAAAACTAACTCTCTGTTCTAGAGAGCTACAATCTCATGGCATTTGTATAAGCTATCAAAGACAAGCCAGGCTGAAAATGCTAGTTAGCTTCCCTGATACAGCTGTCCATGGGAAAGCACAGTTCAGTATGTGGGAAGTGCCTTAGTCCTTAGAGATGGGAGGGCAGACTCCTTTGCTGTTCCAGTGGTCATGCTGTAGATGTGGAAACCCATTTGTGTAGTGAGGAGGTGAACAAATAAAACAAAAAATTGAATATGCAGGAGCAATGGAAAGGACACCTAGGAAAGAGC